ATGATATGGAATATTAAAACATGCTGGCAGGTACGACATCCTCTACTACAGCAGATTGTTATGATATTATTTATTACACAATTATTTCTATTTATCTCCAATGACTTAGAATAGCTGCTTATATTATTTAATCCTCCTTACCCTTCTCCCTGTCAGAAAAAAAAATGGGGAGAGAGAGAGGGAGGGTGGGGGAGTGAAATGGAGAACAAGAAATGTTGATGACCAGTCTTTTGTGTGGGACGTTTAACTCGGGGGCGTAAGCGGATTCAAAATATGACGTAAACAGCTTGATATTTATCAGGATGTGATTATTTTTATACATATTTAGTAACTATATACTCCCCAAAGGAAACAGAAATTTGCATGTTACCTTATACATGTTGTTATGATATAAACTGCAGACTGAAAAGACCGCGAATTTCCAGCCTGATATCGATGTAACCTCCAACACATTTGAGAATAAAAACATCCACATCAATTCTTGGATATTCATAAAAAAATTGAGAAAATACCAGCATGGCAACATAATCATAACACACTCCAATTCCATAAAATGTGGTGGTGCACAGGTTGGAAAAATCAAATATTCTTTTAGAAGAAATGTTTTTAGAAGAGGGTATTGAAGATTAGTCAAAAACCTTTCGGAGTTCTTCAAAATCCACATACTATTAATTTCACTTCATAACATCAATAAATTATGTATTACCATAAGTACTTGTACCGATCGCATTACCATTTTCCTTAATGTGGAAACTAAAGGTATCTTAATAAATCATAATTTGCCGGATTTTCATGGTCAATGTAAAGGATGGACAACAGGCAAACTAACGAGCATCAAATACGTCCAGCTTCATGTCAAACAGAATATTTCTCAATGAGATCACTATTGCGGCCATAAACATACAGCATAAGTAGACATTAAAACTACACTGCTCTAAACATTGGGTTAGGCTTTACTTCTTTAAAAAACAATCACGAAGTATTACCCTTTAAATTGCCAGATAATTTCGGGAAACTAGCTAAACATGTGCCCACACCTATCTAGCATGTTTTTGTCTTTAAATAACCAGAGATTTATTGACCACGCCCACCAGAATATTGGACACGACTCTTATACATCAGCCGTTTATGTCGGTCTTTTCCTACAACGAAACCAACATGGACATCGAGCTGTATGATAAGCGTGAAGATTGTCAATTTCCCTAATGTGTTTTACCATTTCTGGAAAGCAACAGTCTTGCATCCCAAATCTATATTGTTAACATGTCGTAGTTGATTCGATATTCAGGGGCCTGTTCATAGTATTAGGAGTTTTCCATTCAAGAAGTCGTCAGCTGACAAAATCATCACACAGTGATTCCAAAGGTGATGAAAATTATTAGGAAGTATTACCCATTGATCTCATTGAGAATACATTCATTTCTTTGTGCGATATGAACGTGTTTGATGCTCGTTAGTTTGTCTGTTGGCTGAATGAAGGAAAAGACGCTTACTCATCAGGAACACATCTTCTGCTATTATTTTTTCAGAAACCGCCGTGTAAATCTTTCTTGTGTCCATATGTTTTATTGAATTTGGGTTTGGATTATGAGTCTGTTGACATGTTGGTATTTTCTTGTTGTGTGTGTGGGTAAGTGGGTGGGTGGGTGGGTTGGTGTTTGTGGGTGTCTATTAAATCAAACGTGAACCGGACATGGAGGAATACAAGAATAGACAGCAGTGAATTTCCTGGAATCCACACCCCCTCAATAATACCTGTAGATGTCCCGTATAAAAAGACATTCCTATCTGTTTGGAGTCGTTTAGACGAATGGTCCTCACTGTTAGGTAAGTCATCATATTTGTGTGTGCCATATATTGCTTAAAATGACATTCGGGTCATCTTGTTATGTCATAGTGGTTGTTTGAGATAAAGATAGTGAAACTTGATGAAAATATATCTATCTAAATTTTGTGCTATTAATACAAAAGTATAGCCACCTGTACTCGAGGTGCAAGGTTGAGATTCCCCCTGCTAATTTGTTACTTGAAATAGACCCTAATAATTACTCTACTACTAGGTGACCACTGTCCGAACGGGAAATTGCATAAGTTTGATTATCAAGGAAGTGGAAATAGTCTCTAATTGATTAACTGGCCGAAGCTGTACACCAACTGATAAGATTATCGGGGCCCAGACTACACCAACCTAAGTGTATATATGCAAGTAATTATCCACACCCCTGTGAACTACCTATATGTGTTTTAATGATATACTATTGAACATTAAACGAACTATTGTTTAAGCTAACTTATTTCAACCAATTCCATATGAAAATCCAGCTGTGTTACACTAAACCCTATTTTGTTACACAATATTGAAAATTTCCTTCCTGTTCACACAAACTCATATGCTGACACATCCAGACCACAAAACCTGTTTACGCATAATGCGCGATTTGTGCATATGACTATATATTGTCCTAACAAATCCGGTTTAGGTTCAGTCGAATAGTCCTCACTGATAGGTAAGTTGTCTTATTTGTGTGTGCCATATATTGCTTAAAATGACATTCGTTTCATCTTGTTAAGTCATAGTGGTTGTTTGAGATAAAAATAGTGAAACTTGATGAAAATATATCTATCTAAATTTTGTGCTATTAATACAAAAGTATAGCCACCTGTACTCGAGGTGCAAGGTTGAGATTCCCCCTGCTAATTTGTTACTTGAAATAGACCCTAATAATTACTCTACTACTAGGTGACCACTGTCCGAACGGGAAATTGCATAAGTTTGATTATCAAGGAAGTGGAAATAGTCTCTAATTGATTAACTGGCCGAAGCTGTACACCAACTGATAAGATTATCGGGGCCCAGACTACACCAACCTAAGTGTATATATGCAAGTAATTATCCACACCCCTGTGAACTACCTATATGTGTTTTAATGATATACTATTGAACATTAAACGAACTATTGTTTAAGCTAACTTATTTCAACCAATTCCATATGAAAATCCAGCTGTGTTACACTAAACCCTATTTTGTTACACAATATTGAAAATTTCCTTCCTGTTCACACAAACTCATATGCTGACACATCCAGACCACAAAACCTGTTTACGCATAATGCGCGATTTGTGCATATGACTATATATTGTCCTAACAAATCCGGTTTAGGTTCAGTCGAATAGTCCTCACTGATAGGTAAGTTGTCTTATTTGTGTGTGCCATATATTGCTTAAAATGACATTCGTTTCATCTTGTTAAGTCATAGTGGTTGTTTGAGATAAAAATAGTGAAACTTGATGAAAATATATCTATCTAAATTTTGTGGTATTAATACAAAAAAATATTGCTTAATTTTGATGCAGCATTGTCTCGTCACATATATCGCTGAATGTCAATCGCGGATTGAGAATCTTATAATGATACGGGAAGAAGAATGTTGTTAGAATACATAGAGCCTATTTCAGATTTGTTTACCTGTATTTATCTGGTACGCTTTCGAGTATACGTTCGTCACGGCACGCAAGTTTCGTTCCGCATAAAATAACAGGCTTGAACCGCGTTTTCAGTCCAATATGGGGACCAATGACACGCTTTACCAGACACTTTGAATATTTGTATTTTGGAAGATGTCTACTTTTTGATAAATTGTTTTCGGACATCGACAATAATAATGACTTTGTAACAGCATTACTTTGTTAAGAGCAACAAAAAGACTCTAAATCTTATGCAGAACTGACATATTTTCAAAAGATAATACACATATTCATTAACCGACTTTTTTTCTGTACCCTTCTTTAAAGTCAAAACAAGGTGAGGGAATGTTTTTTTTTAAATAAATGTTAGATAAGTATAAAACATTGGCATTTAAATTCTGATTCAGCTGTAAATCACTCTGGTGGTAAATCGTCAGCATTCTTTTCGTTTAGAGATATAAATGCGAGATAATCATTGAAAGTATAGCTTTATCAATGGGATGTATTTTTAGATCACCGTTTATTGCCAATGGAGAGTCAGTTTCACGTTTGTTTTCAAGATTCATTACTGATTTTGAAAGTCGCCACCATTTTCCTGGGAAGGATAGTTTTATCAATAAAAGAAGATTGTAGTTAAGATAAGTATTTCGCTTTAGCCCCACGGATTCCTTGGTTTCGAATTGCCTTATAATCATGTGATGATTTCTTAGTTTTGTTTTTAATCAAATTTCATTTGTCATCCAAATTTTATCATTAAGTCTAATTGTTACTGTTTTATTAGGGACAAAGTGATCGACAGCAGTTAATATTATGTAAGTATGAATAGAATTAATATTGTCAATATCAACTTGTAAATGAATATTCCAATCACCTCAGGTAAGAAATAATAATTAAATATCACTAATCTTTTACTGTTTGTATCATGATATGAAACAGGTAGATAAAATGTATTTATTTTTGTACACATAATATGTGTAAATTAAAGTAAGATTTGTAAAAAAAAATTCTTTCACTTTCTTTAATTTCTTTAAAAAAAAAAATTCAAATCATGATAATGTTTCACATCCAACCTGTCGATTTTGTAAAAAGTGATAGGAATGACTTAAAAGATATGATTATTTATGTTGGTAATATAGAGATAACAAGTTTTTCCCCAGACGGTAACTTGTATAGGCTCCTGTGTAAGAAATGTCCTTACAGCAATACTCACAAAAACACTAGACATCCAAAGTTTGAAAGAAAATACTAATATCATTACGTGATACATTGGGAGCTATCATATTGTAGAACGCAACCGTAAACTATGTTTAATATTAAAGGAGGATATGTGTTGTGTCATTTGGTCTCGTGGCATGTATTGTATATATATATTAACCAATGTATATTGCGTATTGTGTAACAAAAACTAGATCAATGCATGTTATGAAGTAAGGCTCTTCTGCATCCTATTTGGTCTATCTATGTTTCATACTAAATCACGAAGTAATTGATAGAATGCTGTATGAAATGTGAATCTTTTTATTTAAAAAAAATCGTTAAAAAGAAAATTAATTAAAAAATGAGTCATTTATAGTACCTATACTGAAAACTGTAGCCTCAGGTAACAAATCACACAAGAAAAAGACAGAAGATGATAAATAAACAACAATATGAAGTGCGAAGTAACATTTGGTACCTGAAAGTTGTTGATGTCATGAGAACAGTTAAGATTGGAATAAATAGCGCCAACTTATCCAACAAAGTAACCATCTCTGCACTGACGAAAAGAACAAATGCAGCATCAATGTACGACTTTCTATTCCAACAGAATAGCAATGTCTCGACGGAATCCACGGCTGTCTGCACATGTGCATGGCTTGAAAAAGGCACAAGGTCGACAGGCAGATGTAGCAGTATGTATAGTTGAATTCTCCAGATGAAGGTCAATAAATAGTCATTTAAATAAAATCTGAAATTATTATTGGTAACCTGCAATAGACTATCCCAGCAGGCATTTTACGTCAAATTTACGTCGGATTTGGACTTAATCCTGACGTCAGGATTACGTCAAATAATGGTCAGAAATGAAAGTAATATTGACGTAAATGTCTGACATCTATATTATGTCAGTATTTTACGTCAGATTTTCGTCATTATTAGTCAGAATTGGTCAGAATCTGACTTCAGATGCGTTACGTTGCGGACGCTTTGAAGAATTAAAAAGTAATACTAATAAGATAAATCAAAATATAGTTCCTCTTACAAGTTTTATTTATAGCATAACTGCACAAAAAAATATATATGTATCATGACAACAATCAACAAATTTACAAAAATGACAAGAGCGACAAAAGAAATTATTCATGACATGATCTTCATTGTTTAAATATAACAAAACTTTTCTTAAAGACAATAAAACAAGCTTCTGTATATATGAACTCTCGTGTGTAAATTTTCTATCAAAGTCATTATTTTAACACATGCACAATAGAAACAAAATATTCATTTTCTTTTCAAGATTTTACAATAAACAAGAATTGGAAAAAAAAAACTTGACAGAAATTATTGTAATAAAATATTGAAAACCTAATTTGTAAATACACACACAAAAAGCAACCATGAAACATTCCAAATGCACAAATTACAAAATGTTTGAAACACAAAATATTCATATTTATTCTCTGTTAGAGTGAGCCCCTAACAAAATTAATGTATATTTTGATATAATACCAGTAACCCTTCTTAAAATTAAGATTTGAATACCATATTTCCCATGAAAAGTTGACAATGTTTTTCCCAATACATAAACGTCACAATATGTTACAAGAAGGCCTTCAAATTATTAAATACAAATAAGAGGAGATAATAAAAGAGGAAGTTTTTCATGAAACTTTATGCTTGAAAATGGGTTTGCAATATTAAATATTGATTGTTGATACAGAGATTCATGTAAATAAATGTCGATAACATTATTTACTGGTGTCTTCCTCCTCCACTTCTCCTGTCGGGCACATGTTTTAATGTGTACCCGATCACTGCTTCCAGGTCGGCGTCTCTGCAGTCTGTACACCCTTGTGTGCTTTCTGAAAGGATCAATGCAATAGATCTTAATACTAATGTAACATTTGTTGTTCTTTACTTTATTCTAGTATTGCATTTAATGTTCAAAAATATTGCAATGGGGAAGAAAATTTATTCCTTTAAAGATTTACAGAAGAATGTAGGATATGAATATTCTACCCAAGGTGAAGAAGTTTGGGTTATAACTTTTTTTTTCAATTTCAATCTATTTTATTGTTAATACATAGTATACATAACAAAATATATATGATATAAATAAATAGTCTAAAGTATTAACAATGGGATTAAGTCTTTTCCCAAATGATGCCGGTATATTTTCAATTAATTAATATATTCAATTTATTTTAATAATAGGATGGTATTTTTCAGTTTATAATAATAAAGAGAGAGTAAAGAAAAGCACAAGAAAATAAATCACTCGCATACTCACTCCCAGACTACATCCTCAACTACTTAAGTATACTAAATATTATAACTATAGGATTTGTATGTATATCTTATTACTTGTAAATTGAGAATCTTTTAGTTTTTTAAATAAGAACTAGTATTATAAAGAATAAAACTACAAAATTCATCTGACATTCCAATGATACCATAAGCAAAACATTAAGGTGAACATATCTCAATAAATAATATACTGAATTAACATGATGACTGATGTCTAACATGTGAGTAAAGAGGACACTGGAAGAAAAAATGTATAGCATCTTCAAAATTTGCACCACACATACAGGAGCCATTTGGGTTATAACCTTTGAAGCCTCCGTTAAGACCACTACTTATACACCCTTGGGTAGAATATCCATATTCCACATACCTACATTTGTACATTGACTATATTTCTCCCAAAATATCAGCCAATTTTGTCAAAATATTGATGTATGCACAGTAAACCTTGTCAAAAAATCCCAAAACAATTCAACTTGTGAAAATGATTTATAGATACGTTATATGAAAATTTTAGCAAAAAAATGTTGTATATCTTTGTGTATTCTGCATGGCTAGAAGTGGCGAAAATACTGCTGGTTATGGCATTTCTTTCACTCGAGTTGGTTATTTTTTTAAAGTTACAAAAGATACAAGCTTTAGCGAGTTTCTATTATAACTTTTAAAACATAACTAGCCTATCTCGAGTGAAAGAAATACCATACCCGGTGGCCAGGAGTTGTGTAACATCGTGTTATCTGTTTCCACCATGATTTTTTAAACAGCTAAAAGTTAACAAAAACAAATGTAAAATTATAACGGTGCAAATACAGACATTGAGTGATAAACCAACTCACCTTTTCCGAGACTGAAGCAAAATAAACCAGCTGTAGACAGAAATCCAAAAGTAAATGTAAAAAATTCAAAAACCGATGTGACCTCGTTTCCCGCCGTAACACTCGGCGCCCGCTAGAATTTTAAAATGACAGGAAGTATGAACGAACTACTCCGGTGATAATATTCATATCGTTCCATATTTTACTAAAAGTAGTTGAATTTTTAAATTAAAGCATCAAATAGCCAACAAAAGCTTTTTGTTGACAAAGAACAATTTCTTATCGTGTAGATGTATTTATATTATGACATCATTGTTAAATGTGTCAGTTAAGCCTTCCCTAAAAAACAATCAATTTTATTTATTTTTAAGCCGTTTCTACAAACGAATTTGGAAGAACCGTTGTCAGAGGTTCTTTGGAATTCGCCAGATGCCGTTGCGTGCAGAAATCTGGCCTTATCCACATGTTTTGTGGAAGGAATAAAGAACGGAAATCTGAATCCAACAGCCTTTGGTAAGTTGTAGTTTAAAATGAATTACACCCTATTATCTCGTTCGTTATAGCTCCTTCTTAATCCTCCAAAATGACTGAAAATCATAACAACTCATTGTTTCTCCTTCGGTACGTAATGGTCTTCTTTCCATGGAATGGCATAAAAAAAACATACAACACCATTCAATACATATTTACATTGGTTGATGTTTCATGTCATTTACAAATCGTATTTCATTAATAGCTTCCAACAGGAGGATTCATGATGCATGATTCTTACTACTATAAAGACTATATCTAATTAATATTTTTTTATTTTCTACAGGGGGATACATGGTACAAGACTCTGTCTACTGTTGCAAAGCCAAATATTCTATTGACGCCGCAATCTGTCGTGCTCCTGATGGGGATGTCAAAACATATCTGGAAAAAGAATCTGAAAGTTATGAAGGGTAACTTAAAATTTCAAAATGTAGAAAACAATATTCGGAATTCTATTTCTACTAAAGCATGATTAAGTAACCGTAAACTGATGTCTCCTGTGACGTCTCCGTTAGCTGTTACACTGTAATCACTGGTATTATTATTGCTCAGACCATAGGTTACTTTGTAGCAAATTCTTGTGTAAGAACACAGAATATTGTAATATTAGTAAGTGTTTGATGCGCGTTAGCTTGCCTGTTGGTTCCGTTGGTATTTATGTTGTTTTCATTTTTGGAAGTGACATTACTTTAACTTTCCCTGACCAAGATGGCGGTGTCGTCGATCAAACAGAAGACGCTTACTCTTCCAGAACACCTGGTCTTATTATCTTTATACTTTGTTCAGTAGTCTCTCTGTGATTCTTTCTTTTATTCATTGTTTGTCCTACCTTTTTTTAATTTGAGTAATGTTTATGATTTTGATCATATTGGTATTCTTCTACTTGTTTTTCAAAGACCTACCATATCAAACAAATCTGAAACCCATTTCTACAACAATACACTACTGTACCAAATATCCGGAAACAATCAAATATCTTTATAAATATCTTTTTAATATCTTCAAGAAAGGGTTAACTGATTGTCTTGTTGTTCATATTCCGTGTTATCCCGTGTAACATATTACATTGAGTAATATGGTCTATTGTGACGGTATGTTTTGATAATACACAGAAAAATTGTACTGTAAAGTAAAAATGAAGACCATAGATAAAAGTGCGAAATCCTTAAAATTTTGAACTGTAACTGTCTGTTTTTCACATTATTCATATTAATAATCGATCACATGATAAACGTTTCCATTTAATATATGATTATTTAACTTTCCATTTATATTTAATCTTAGCACACTAATGCTCACCTACTTCTTTCATATAGTTTCTTGCTTGATGCATTCTTCAAATGTAAACTCATTTCAGATTCTATAAATAAGTGAGGTATTGAATGCTACACAAAGGAAATCCCAGAAGATTGAAATTTGAGGAAATAAAAATGACCATGTTAAGGAAATGAAACTTATTTTTGCTCTGTTACTTGTTATTACAAAGCCACATACCAAATAAATTTCATTATCTGTAGTATTGATGAATATATACTCTCAACACGGCCATTCGAAGATCCAATTTCCCTAACTATGCCAAAAAGACTCCTGTCCCAATAACCAATTTTACCATTTATTCATTAAGTAATTGATGGATCGGTCATATTAAAGGTACTATGAGGAATTGTTTACAAAGTGGCACATCGATGATCCAACTGGAATCAGTCTTAGTCAGGCCTGCCAGTCTTACGCAGACTTCGAACATCTGGTCGCCTCAACAGAGGACACCATCTACATGATAGTGGCCATGATTCCGTGTATGAAGTTGTGGCCCTGGCTTGGAAAGCAGCTTGAGCAGGTCAGTAAACATCTGAAATATAGAGAGACGCATATATTTCAGTAAATTATACAAAAACGTATTTTTATTAATTCTTGATATTATTACATTAATTGACGGACTTGCAAAATATTCACATTTTCAATAAATACATATATATTGTAATCTTTGATCAAATCGGCAAGGAAACGTCACATTTATTTATTGGAACACGCCCTTTTAAAGTTAATACTCGACTTCTATCATAATTGTGTATTGGGTACAATTATAGACAACGGTTTTATATTTGATGACAAATTATCAATATGATACAATGTATATCATTACATAGACATGAACACATGAACTATATATTATACTGAAATTTCAGAAGACGTGTACAAAATCATATCATTAAGTTGCAACTGAAATAATGCTAACTTTATTAGGTCATCTGACCCGAAGGGTCCGATGACCTATAGTCATCATGCTTCGTCCGTCGTCGTCCGCCGTGCGCCGTGCGCCGTCCGTAAACTTTTCATTCAAACGACTTCTTCTCAATAATTGGAAGGCCCAAGCAACTAATATTTGGCCTGTAGCTTGCTTTGATGAAGCCCTACCAAGTTTGTTAAAAAGAATGACCTTGACCTTCATTCAAGGTCACAGGGGTCAAATGTCTTAAAATCTTCAAACGACTTCTTCTCAATAACTGGAGGGCCCAGGCAACTAATATTTAGCCTGTAGCTTGCTTTGATGAAACCCTACCAAGTTTGTTCAAATGAATGACCTTGACCTTCATTCAAGGTCACAGGGGTCAAATGTCTTTAAATCTTCAAAGGACTTCTTCTCAGTAATCAAAAGGCCCAGGCAACTAAAATAAGGCCTGTAGCATGCTGGGATGAAGGACTACCAAGTTTGTTCAAATGAATGACCTTGGCCCACTTTCAAGGTCACAGGGGTCAAATATGTTAAAATATACAAAGGACTTCATCTCAATAAGCAAAAGTCTATGAGTGCCGATATTGTGTCTGTAGCATGCTGGGAGGAATGGCTATCAAGTTTATTTAAATGAATGACCTTGAACAACTTTCAAGGTCACAGGGGTCAAATATGTCAAAATCTTTAAATAACTTCTTCTCAAATACTAGAAGGCCTAGGGGGCTAATACTTGGCCCATAGCATGCTGGCATAGAGCCCTACAAAGTTTGTTCAACTGAATGACCTTGGCCCACTTTCAAGGTCACAGGGGTCAAATATGTTAAAATATACAAAGGACTTCATCTCAATAAGCAAAAGTCTATGAGTGCCGATATTGGGTCTGTAGCATGCTGGGAGGAAAGGCTACCAAGTTTATTTAAATGAATGACCTTGAACAACTTTCAAGGTCGCAGGGGTCAAATATGTCAAAATCTTTAAATAACTTCTTCTCAAATACTAGAAGGCCTAGGGGGCTAATACTTGGCCCATAGCATGCTGGCATGGAGCCCTACAAAGTTTGTTCAAATGAATAACCTTGGCCCACTTTCAAGGTCACAGGGGTCAAATATGTTAAAATATACAAAGGACTTCATCTCAATAAGCAAAAGTCTATGAGTGCCGATATTGGGTCTGTAGCATGCTGGGAGGAAAGGCTACCAAGTTTATTCAAATGAATGACCTCAACCCACTTTCAAGGTCACAGGGGTCAAATATGTTAAAATATACAAACGACTTCTTCTCAACATGCAAAAGTCCATGAGTGCTGATATTGGGCCTGTAAGATGCTTGGAGGAGAGGCTACCAAGTTTGTTCAAATGAATGACCTCAACCCACTTTCTAGGTTTGGCTTGCTTTTTGTCAGATGACCGTTAAGGCCCATGGGCCTCTTGTTCTGCCAATGCTACAGGGGGACCATGGTGTATACAACGAATGGTATCAAAATAATTTTGATCCGACGTACGACGGCTATAAAGTTCTGGACGCCTTTGTAGACGATGCCGCAGCCCAGGGCACCATCGATGATGTGAAAGCAATGGAAGTGTTTTCGAGATGCATGCAGGGTGAATACGAATTTTTCAATTCGGCAAACATATAGTGTAATGATACCAAATCATTCTGAAGTGAATTCACTAATTCACGACTTTTACTCGCTATATTCAATGACGATGCGAATCCATATTCCTGTACGAAAACATTATTTTTAAATCTGCGTGTTTATATAGCATGTGCTTATTCTTCTGTATGTATGTATGTAGGCGAAGAGTATTTACTGCATGTATTTAGAACTTAATAGTGAATAAAATCATATAATGCTTCAACAAACCTCCCAATGTCTTGTAACAAAAACTATACAAAGAAAAACCAATGATGAGCACTATTCAGTACAAGTAATGTACAAAGAAACACACGTGATTAGCATCTTCAGATACAATGATTGTACAAAGAAACACACGTGATTAGCATCTTCAGATACAATGATTGTACAAAGAAACACACGTGATTAGCATCTTCAGATACAATGATTGTACAAAGAAACACACGTGATTAGCATCTTCAGATACAATGATTGTACACAGAAACACACGTGATTAGCATCTTCAGATACAATGATTGTACACAGAAACACACGTGATTAGCATCTTCAGATACAAGTATTGTACAAAGAAACACACGTGATTAGCATCTTCAGATACAAGTATTGTACAAAGAAACACACGTGATTAGCATCTTCAGATACAATGATTGTACACAGAAACACAAGTGATTAGCATCTTCAGATACAATGATTGTACAAAGAAACACACGTGATTAGCATCTTCAGATACAATGATTGTACACAGAAACACAAGTGATTAGCATCTTCAGATACAATGATTGTACAAAGAAACACACGTGATTAGCATCTTCAGATACAATGATTGTACAAAGAAACACACGTGATTAGCATCTTCAGATACAATGATTGTACAAAGAAACACACGTGATTAGCATCTTCAGATACAATGATTGTACACAGAAACACACGTGATTAGCATCTTCAGATACAATGATTGTACAAAGAAACACACGTGATTAGCATCTTCAGATACAATGATTGTACAAAGAAACACACGTGATTAGCATCTTCAGATACAATGATTGTACAAAGAAACACACGTGATTAGCATCTTCAGATACAATGATTGTACACAGAAACACAAGTGATTAGCATCTTCAGATACAATGATTGTACAAAGAAACACACGTGATTAGCATCTTCAGATACAATGATTGTACAAAGAAACACACGTGATTAGCATCTTCAGATACAATGATTGTACAAAGAAACACACGTGATTAGCATCTTCAGATACAATGATTGTACAAAGAAACACACGTGATTAGCATCTTCAGATTCAATGATTGTTCAAAGAAACACACGTGATTAGCATCTTCAGATACAATGATTGTACAAAGAAACACACGTGATTAGCATCTTCAGATACAATGATTGTACAAAGAAACACACGTGATTAGCATCTTCAGATACAATGATTGTACAAAGAAACACACGTGATTAGCATCTTCAGATACAATGATTGTACAAAGAAACACACGTGATTAGCATCTTCAGATACAATGATTTAGTCTTCACAATGATTGTACACACACGTGATTAGCATCTTCAGATACAATGACATCTTCAGATACAATGATTGTACAAAGAAACACACGATGATTAGCACACGTCATCTTCAGATACAATGATTGTACAATGATTGAAACACACGTGATTAGCATCTTCAGATACAATGATTGTACAAAGAAACACACGTGATTAGCATCTTCAGATACAATGATTGTACAAAGAAACACACGTGATTAGCATCTTCAGATACAATGATTGTACACAGAAACACACGTGATTAGCATCTTCAGATACAATGATTGTACACAGAAACACAAGTGAGAAGCATCTTCAGATACAATGATTGTACACAGAAACACAAGTGAGAAGCATCTTCAGATACAATGATTGTACACAGAAACACAAGTGAGAAGCATCTTCAGATACAATGATTGTACACAGAAACACACGTGATTAGCATCTTCAGATACAATGATTGTACAAAGAAACACACGTGATTAGCATCTTCAGATACAATGATTGTACACAGAAACACAAGTGAGAAGCATCTTCAGATACAATGATTGTACACAGAAACACACGTGATTAGCATCTTCAGATACAATGATTGTACACAGAAACACAAGTGATTAGCATCTTCAGATACAATGATTGTACACAGAAACACACGCGATTAGCATCTTCAGATACAATGATTGTACAAAGAAACACACGTGATTAGCATCTTCAGATACAATGATTGTACACAGAAACACAAGTGAGAAGCATCTTCAGAAACAAGTATTGTACAAAGAAACACAAGTCATTGGCATCTTAAGACACAATGATTGTACAAAGACACACAAGTGATAAGCACCTTCAGACACAATGATTGTACAAAGACACACAAGTGATAAGCATCTTCAGACACAATGATTGTGCAAAGACACACAAGTGATGAGCATCTTCGAACACAATGATTGTACAAAGAAACACACGTGATTAGCATCTTCAGAAACAAGTATTGTACAAAGACACACAAGTCATTAGCATCTTAAGACACAATGATTGTACAAAGACACACAAGTGATAAGCACCTTCAGACACAATGATTGTACAAAGACACACAAGTGATAAGCATCTTCAGACACAATGCTTGTGCAAAGACACACAAGTGATGAGCATCTTCGAACACAATGATTGTACAAAGACACACAAGTGATAAGCATCTTCAGACACAATGATTGTACAAAGACACACAAGTGATAAGCATCTGAAGACACGATGATTGTACAAAGACACACAAGTGATGAACATCTTCGAACACAATGATTGTGCAAAGACACACAAGTGATGAGCATCTTCGAACACAATGTTTGTACAAAGACACACAAGTGATAAGCACTTTCAGACACGATGATTGTGCAAAGACACACAAGTGATGAGCATCTTCGAACACAATGATTGTACAAAGACACACAAGTGATGAGCATCTTCGAACACAATGATTGTACAAAGACACACAAGTGATAAGCACTTTCAGACACGATGATAGTACAAAGACACACAAGTGATAAGCACTTTCAGACACGATGATAGTACAAAGACACACAAGGGATTAGCACCTTCAGATACCATGATAGTACAATGACACACAAGTGAAAACCAATATTCGGTACAAGGATTGTACACAAGAAACACATGTGGTTAGCAATATTCACTTCAACGGTTGTAGAAAAGACACACTAGTGGTGCCAAACGAGTACTGAAAAAATATTTCAAGATTTTGATGAGTATGTGCAGTAGCATCACCATTAAATAAATGTCGCATTTCTCTTCTATCTGATACCTGTTAATATTCTGAATCACGCCTGAATTAACACGTTACTATGTTATGAGTAAGATTAATAAACTGACTCGTACCACAGTTCCGTCCTTCTAAAGCTTGTCATTGATGATAAATGACTCAATTTTGAAGCTTTATACTCGAGCGAGGAAAATCAAATTAATGAAAACGTGGCATGCAGGTTACGACAATTTTGAAGAGTAAAATATCTTCATCCACTCTAAACTGCCGAACAACCATGACTTCTAGTTTGTTAACCCGTCAGCGTGATGTTTACTAAAATAACCTGGAATCAAAAGGATGGTCAGGCACGGAAATAAAACCAGTGAACGTCGTTATTTCATGATAAATTAGATACTGCAACACAATAGTGCAAATCAGAATATTGTCTAAGACGTATGTAGTACACAATATGATCAAAGGTAAATATATGGTTTCATATTTTGAATCGCACCTGTTAGTGTTGCTAAGGACCTCAATGTAAGAGCTGGCTGAGGAAATAAAAATTAGTCCAAGAAATGTAAGAAAAAAAATGGGAAGGTGCACTACTTCCAAACTTACGTAAGCTTATTCCGGCCACGTTGTGCTTTATTTTAACTCGAAATTTCGAGATAGTAACTCGAAATGTCGAGTAAGTTATCCGAAATTTTTAGTTAGCAAGTCGAATTTTCGAGTTATCTCGAAATTTCGGGTTCGACTCGACTTACTAACTCAAAATTTCGGATTACTAACTCGAAATTTCGAGATGAAATCAAACAAAACGTGGCCGGAATACGCTTCCGTACAAACTTTATCATTTTTATGTTGCATAATGACACTATTCGAATGAACTGAAACGTGGCCTGCACGTTACGACATATTTCTGTACCTTAGATACACAAGCAATGTCTACCACCTATGAAAGTTAGATGTTTTGGTCGGCTATCGTTTATCAACCTATGCTAATTAAGAGACCCGGACATAGACGTGTTTCCGTTTATAGTAAGATAGTGCGAGTTACTTTATGCAACAAACTACAGTTTCTTTATGGCTGATCGAGGTTTAAGAGTATGCTGCTATATATACAAACTGATCATTTCTATATGTAAGAGATTAAAACATGAAGCAATAATTTGGTTTCATTGCAGTTTTACATGATCAATACATCTGAATATTTTCTCATCTTAAAACAAAATGTTGATGTATTTTAATGATTTAATGAGCTTATTCTCGGAATTCCACAGATTACGACCACTTATGATGATACAGTGATCGTGATAACCTGTGGAATTTTGCGGATGACTGGCGCTTTACTTCCTTGTTAGTGATATAGATGTGTATAGACCAAACGTAACGACGGAGAGCAATGCATTCGTGATGCGAGGACAGAGTCCTACATTAACACGGATTAGATAAAACTATGACAATCCTAAATGATAACACGGTAAATAGACACCAGAAACAAGAAACAATCTAATGAACGTTAAAAACTTTCAGCTTTACATCGCATCAAAATGAAATCATTCACTGAGAGAGCATTACCGACCGTAAAACTGCTCTATCATTTTCATCGACCTGCATCTCTCTAAAGCATGTGATGTGAATTTAACAATTGTAACATCAGTAGCTCTCAACACCACTTAAAAAAAATTGCTGTTGAAATATTGCTTTTCATTCAATACAGAAGATTCGTATTTCTTGAAAATGTTAGGCTGTACTCCGTAAAAAGACCGTTTATTGTTCACCAAAAATATATTAAATGATGGTCAGTCTGTGGAATGGTCAAACTTACCAGTTAACGTCGAGAGTGCATGAGTGAGCATGTTACTCATCGTCTCTCACTTATTTAATGGTTTATTAAATTTTCTTTGTGGGGGAAAATCATTATCATTTACAATTGATGTGAAATGTAAACAATACTTTTTGTAAGCTAAATAACATTGTCTTAGACTGAGGTTCCCTTTTTTCCAATATTGTTGGTATAAACCAAGTATTTGAACGAAATATGAAATTCGACAGTACTATTTCATAATGTTTACATATTTCTAATATAAATAACAAACAGATATAAAATATACTCATAGGTACATATGAGCATTATATGGATAAATAAGTTCATTGTACACAATGTATTCCTCCACTCCCATCCCACGGTGTAAAACGTCTATGTTTTAGACATAACCTGATGATTTATACTGTAACATAAATGATAGGTGTTACATATTCAAATATTTTGTAAAACGTCTATGTTTTAGACATAACCTGATGATTTATACTGTAACATAAATGATAGGTGTTACATATTCAAATATTTTGTAAAACAAAACCCATTAAATCCCAATTGAATGAAAATATAGAAACAAGATTAAAAGTTTTTACGTGTTTTCAGATGGTACTGAAAGTTGCCTTGCGTTAGTGATATGTGTGATATTTGACTATTCGACACCAGCATTCGTATGAAATTCTCATTTGTAACAAAACAAAAAAGTACCAACATGTCAACATAATCATAATCCAACTCAAATTCAATAAAATAGGGCAAAATATGAACAAATGGAAGTGTCATTGATTTCCAAATTTGATGGGTCTACACAACGGGCGTAGTCAATAAATGTCTTGTTATTTAAAGATAAATGGTCATCAAGTACCACTATACAGATATAAATGGTTTAAATGTAAATGTTTTCCTAGTTTGTTAGATTCCTAAAATGTCATATATAAATATTGCTTATCTTTTATGAATTTATTACAAAATCTATAAATATACCTGAAGTCATATTAATGGTAGTGGTATTCACATATAGGTTGGAGAATCGAAAGTAATCATTATTTCCGTTCACACGAACTCATCTGCCGACACACCCAAACCACAAAACCTGTTTACTCACAATACGCGATTTGTGCATATGACTATATATAATCGTAAAAATCCCGTTTAGAGTTCAGAGGTTAAGAGAGCCAGGGAGTGCGTGTGACAAAATGTCTCATCCTTCTTCATTTACATTTCCATATAAAACGTACCAGAAGCTGTTACATATAAGGTGTTACATAACACTAATTAGTTCTAGTTTTAGGCAGTGAATGGGAATTCCAAACAAGAATGTGACTTGATATCTTCAAACCATATTAGGCTGTCACATGTCTATTACATCTCAAATACTACATCTACATTTTCAGCTCCATAGTTGATAAACATACTTATAAACCGTTATAACGATATATTTAAGTCGACATAACAATGACAACGTTATCACGAGAAACAAAGCCGTTGTTACGACACAGCTAAGTAGGTATCATACAATTCATGTACCTAGATACATTCACACGATATTCTGGAATACCCTAACACGCCTCCATAAGAAGCTGTTACACTTGAACAGGATGTCACATACACGACATTTTAAATAGTTTCACGAAAAAGTAAGTTCTCGAAATACGAGATATGAGTCATGAGATTCACAAATACGGAGCAATGATAGAATTCATCGTAACCCGGATGTTCGTCGACCGTGTGTAAACGAGACAGACCTCTATTACCTTCGTGCATGCGGATGAGCTTGCTACAAAAACGTAAGTGACTTTCTTACTTTAAATATTTAAATACTCTTGATTACTTAGCATTGATGACTTGAGAAAAATGAGTAGAGTAGAGGAAATAGAAACATTCTTTTATGCAATAAATTGACTAATTTTGAATTGAGTTTTTTTTTGTTTTTTTTTTGTAGTATGTTTTCCGATACAAATGTTTTACATCTTCATATATGTTATTTTCTTTATAGAAAAGTATATTGAAACATTTAAAATCATGAAACCTATCGATCAATGTCATATCTGCATGAATAAAAAGACCCCTGTTTAGCAGCATGTTGACAAAATGATGTAATTTTTTGTCGAGCTTATATTTTTGCATTTCTTTATATTGGTTTCAGTTATTTTAACAGCTAACCAAAAAATACATCATGTCTTCATGGAATCCACAACGATATGTGAGCGTCAATGTGAAACACGAGGTACTGTCGTCTTTTCCTCTATTACATTTGTTTATCTTACGACGAAATCTAAAAAAAACAATTCTCTGACCTTTAAACAAAAGAATCACAAATTCCCAGAGACTTAACTTTAAGCCACGCGAAGACTTTGCTTCTTATATGCTTTGCCTGAAGACGCCTATATTGTCGTTTTTTTATACATCTTATTTACACTTACAGGCTGTATCGAGATGTCCCGCCAAACTGCTTGTTGTATGTTTAGTGATGCTATATACAAGTAGGACTGAAGCCGAATCAGGGCACCTCTGGAACCAGACCGAAGTGATACAAAACGGAACATCATCAGGGCACCTCTGGAACCAGACCGAAGTGATACAAAACGGAACATCATCAGAGACGGAAGCGGTACGAAATATGACCCTATCAGAGTACCTCTGGAACAAAACCGAGGCCATACGAAACAAGACATTATCTACATATTTTGTGCAGGGAATCGCCAACGGAAGTCTTAATCCGACAGCATTCGGTAGTATTCCAACCTACTTGCATCCTTAATTCACCTTTTCATGAATACTTTTGTTAATCTGCAACACGCCATTCTCCGCATTTTCTTAATCAAGTCACTGAATAATCAGTGGAAAGTGTTTGTTTTTCTCTACGAAAACCTTTTGTTGCGTTCAACATACTTTTGAAAAAATAAATCACAAAGTTATATATCTGGTGTTGTCCCAGTTTGAGATAATTCACGGTTATTAGATTTATGAACTATGAACTGGTGAACATGTACTCACAGGAATAAGAGATATTTTTTCAATATTTTCATTCAAATTAGAAATATTCGCTGCCTATGTAAGTTCGCGCTTTCTTTTTTGACAGTGAATAAAGCGAAATCAGTTTCCTGGAGAACATTACAAAATATACCGTAACACGATGATATTAAACTTAATTTTTGAACGTCATTGATGTTGCCTATCCGAGGGACCTTTCACAAGAGAGATTGTATACTCATTGCTTTTTTGGTGATATCCACAGGGGGCTTTATGATACAGGACGCTGTCTATTGTTACAAAATTAAAAACTCCATCGATATCTCTGCTGATCGAGCACCTGACGGAGAACTCAAGGAATATTTGCGAAATGAATCTGCGGCTTTCGACAGGTAAATCAGTAGTGATTTCACATTCTTTTTGATCACAAAATCGTTCACAGACCACAGAACAAAAATTACTCACGTTATTATATAATCTTTAGCTGATTAACATATAAAATTGCAGCAATCTTTTTCTCTTTTTTCAGTATTTACAAATATCTGTCTGAGAAATGGCGCATTAAGAACCCCGCAGGTATCAACTTGACCGAGTCATGTCAGTCCTACGCCGATTACGAACGCCAGATCGCCTCTACGGAAGACACCATTTACATGTTAGTGGCCATGACTCCGTGTTACAAGTTGTGGCCTTGGCTCGGAAAGCAGCTGCAATCGGTAAGTATGTGTGTAGAGAAAGGCATCGGAACTGACTACAGAATTGACTGATACATTGTGTGTGTAGAGAAAGGTATCGGACCTGACTATAGAATGGACCGGTAAATTGTGTGTGTAGGGAAAGGTATCAGACATGGCTACGGAATGGACTGGTAAATTGTGTGTGTGGAGAAAGGTATCGGACCTGACTAAGGAGTGGACTGGTAAATTGTGTGTGTAGAGAAAGGTATCAGACCTGACTACGGAATGGACAGGTAAATTGTGTGTGTAGAGAAAGGTATCAGACCTGACTAATGAATGGACCGGTAAATTGTGTGTGTAGAGAAAGGTATCGGACCTGACTACGGAATGGACAGGTAAATTGTGTGTGTAGAGAAAGTTATCGGACCTGACTACGGAATGGACAGGTAAATTGTGTGTGTAGAGAAAGGTATCGGACCTGACTACGGAATGGACCGGTAAATTGTGTGTGTAGAGAGAGTTGTCGGACCTGACTACGGAATGGACTGGTAAATTGTGTATGTAGAGAAATGTGTCGGACCTGACTACGGAATGGACAGGTAAATTATGTGTGTAGAGAAAGGTATCGGACCTGACTACGGAATGGACCGGTAAATTGTGTGTGTAGAGAAAGGTGTCGGACCTGACTACGGAATGGACAGGTAAATTGTGTGTGTAGAGAAAGGTGTCGGACCTGACTACGGAATGGACAGGTAAATTGTGTGTGTAGAGAAAGGTGTCGGACCTGACTACGGAATGGACCGGTAAATTGTGTATGTAGAGAAAGGTATCAGACCTGACTACGGAATGGACCGTTAAATTGTGTGTGTAGAGAAAGGTATCCGACCTGACTACGGAATGGACTGTTAAATTGTGTGTGTAGAGGGAGTTGTCGGACCTGACTACGGAATAGACTGGTAAATTGTGTGTGTAGAGAAATGTGTCGGACCTGACTACGGAATGGACAGGTAAATGGTGTGTGTAGAGAAAGGTATCGGACATGACTACGGAATGGACCGGTAAAATGTGTGGGTAGAGAAAGGTTTCGGACCTGACTATGGAATGGACAGGTAAATTGTGTGTGTAGAGGAAGGCATTCGGACCTGACTACGGAATGGACAGGTAAATTGTGTGTGTAGAGGAAGGCATTCGGATATATAGAGGCTAAAATTGTATTCCTCGGTGTACAAGATTATTTCGGGTATCAAGTTATTAACAAAAAATACGATAAGCATGAAGAAGTTCATGTTTTATCTCCAGAACATTACATACACTAGTTATCGAATTACAGAGTTAGAAAAATACAGTAAATCCAAACATTTTAGATTAATAGAAATATTATCAACACGTATATATTGAGGTAAACTTGGTACATTCTGTGTTACAGGTTAATCATGGAGTATACAACGAGTGGTTCAACGATAACTTTAACCCTTATTTTGACGGGTACAAGATGCTGGATGCATTCGTTGATGAAGCTGAGACAAATATGAGTATAAACCGGAGTAAAGCTTTAGAAGTGTTTACAAGATGCATGCAGGGAGAATACGAGTTTTTCAACTCCGTACAACACACGGATTTGACAAACGCCTCACCGCCCGTGAATGGAAACGTTACATCCGGATCTGTTGCCTCTACTTTAGAGCATGGTCGCCTATCGTTTTCCTTCACAATTCTTGTTTTGTCTGTAATTACTCAGATATCAAGTTTGTATTGTACAGATAAGATTCCAATGCTACCCATATAAATGTCCGGATATAGAGACTTGTCACTAGAGTGTCCTTAACAGAACAAAGGGATGTAAATACATTCCAAACTTATAATTCTTTGGATCTAAATCTTACTGTTTACATACTTTAATCCTTACCGGTACAGCGGTGTATACATATCGTATCCACAATAAAGGTGGGATCTTTTCTATATATATTCTATGTATATATATATATTTAATAGAGTGACCTCTTTTTCTGAAGGTAAACAGTTTTAAAACTTAAATTTCCTTTAAGTCGTTCACATTATAAGCCCCGTAATCACCAAAAACACCAGGAAAGAAGACAAAACTGCAAAGGTTATATGAGAAAGGTTACACGGGAAAGGTTATACGAGAAAGGTTATATTGTAGGTTACCCTAGAAACATTCATCTCTCAGCACTCTAATGTTATAATCATTTAAAATATTTTTAATATAATGCAATTATTACACCTAGAGAACTATACTAATCTGGACGTACTGAGGTATATTTCAATAAAAATTGTCAGGAAAATCAAACAAGAGAAGACTACAGATATAATTAGATTTTTTTTGTATCTAATGTTAGTAATATATTCAGTTTACAGTATTAAAATATGTACAATATTTAGCAAGCATTTTGTTTGTTTTTTCTATACTCATTATGCTGGCAGTAGCTTGCTCATAACACCATTTTATAGAGAGTTCCGTGTTTAATTTTGATACCTATATAAAAGGTAACAATGAAGATAACCTTAACCGTTAAACTTCTTCAACAAAGGTTTGAATCTTAATCTAGATATAAGATACAGCCAAATGCCGAATCCTTAAGTAGAACGAAATGTACTTTTAACTCCGACCAAACGGATCCAGAAACGAAACTAACGTCGTGAATGATAAAAGTGTTTCATTCTTTACCCGTTGTAAATGTCACTTTGAAATAATTGCATACTATAGGTTGCAAGTACGTTATTATATTTGCAGATTCTTCAAACGCTTTTGTTCTCAAAAAATAATACACATTGTATCCCCAAAATGAAACATTTGCTGATATTAGTCTGTAAACAGTTGCATATAATCTAATAACTGTTCAATATTTACATGATAGGTGTGTGATTGTGATTGCATCCAATACGCTTGCTGCTAGCAGTTTTACATACCACAAAGACATACTAGGACACGATATTTCAGTAATACAACTATTTTAAATGAGAATAGGGACCTTCTATATCTATGATGTATTTCTCAATTGCACAAGAATCCATACAAACAGCTTTTTATTAATGACTTTACCAAATTAACTTTTATATGGCAGCATTAACTACTCGTATGAAGATAATGTAGAAGTATGTCAAATCACTCAGCAATATATACTTAACTAAAATAGATTTTGATCTCTCTCTCTCTCTCTCTCTCTCTCTCTCTCTCTCTCTCTCTCTCTCTCTCTCTCTCTCTCTCTCTCTCTCTCTCTCTCTCTCTCTCTCTCTCTCTCTCTCTCTCTCTCTCTCTCTCTCTCTCTCTCTCTCTCTCTCTCTCTCTCTCTCTCTCTCTCTCTCTCTCTCTCTCTCTCTCTCTCTCTTTCTCTCTCTCTCTCTCTGTCTCTGTCTCTCTCCTTCTCTCTCTCTTCGCATAATAATTGTATTTAAACATGTGGTCTTGTCTTGTCAATATGTATTTTGTCAAACTTTATAGGAAAGGGCTTAATATAATTTAGAAAACTTGTGCCCAATCCTATCTGCCTGTATATTTGACACCAATAAAATGTGTTTAAATCAAACTTTACAAAATCATTTATATTGAAAATGAAATAAAAAAAGATCGAAATGGAAAAATAAATCTTCATCGAATTTGGGGTAAGATATTCCTAACAACCACAGGCATACTTATGAAACAGAAATAAAATGTGCCCCGCCTTAGCTGACATGTTTTTGTTTTCCTATCAGGTTGACTTTATTTAAGAGTTTAATCAAAACAGGTAATAAAAGACCCAGAGCCAAGTCATTTAAATGAACTAATGGACCTGTTGATGATATACTGTTGTTACCCTCTACAACTGCCGATCATAACCATAACGTGAATGCCACGTCTAATTAATTGATATAGTGATACGGTTCAGAATATACACATGTACTTAACGTTTTTGAAATAATTCAATTTTGAAAAGTATAAAATTTGGGTTAACAAACCTCCCCATTCGGTATTTATTTGGACCATTTTGGATTTTCATTAGTCGCCTCCTCGGTTTCAAAATAATTTAGACTCAGCTTTAGTGGCGAGTCGAAGAAGAATGTAAGAGATGTATGATGCAGTAAATTCATAGTTTGACAATTTTAAATTTGCATCGCAAGGCAATTTTGACATGTGTGTTTTTTGTACAAACTTAAAAGACACTTTTCTACTTATCCTCATGATCTGTTTATTTTGGTATCTTCCTACAACGAAACAAGGACGGTTTTATGATGAGCGTGATTATTTCAACTTCCTTATGGCAAAATTTCCACTTCCGGATAGCAACAATCCTGCTTCACCAACCTATGGTTTTACATGTCGCAGTAAATGTGTTCATTGCTCGTTAGTACATCAATTGGTTTCGTTGTTATGCGTTTGAGAACGTGTCATTGCTTGCTTGGATTGACCAAGCTTTGCACTGCAGATGTCATTGACTTAAAGTTTATATTAAGGTTATGATGCCACGTTGGTGTTTTCTCGTTGTTATTGACGTGAAACTGTTACCTACATACATTTTCTAGATATTCAGAAAAAAGAAAATCATCAACAAGACGTGTTATATATGGTAGTAGTTTGTTGTGTCTAGAAATTGTCGTATAGACTCACAACTCGGATGTTCACATCCGCATTAAATGAATGTGTATTTATTGTATAGACGTTCATGTGTGACTAATGTATTCAATTGAAGTATTAAATACGCACACCCAACACAATAATGTCTGCAGATTAATAGAAGAGACTCTCATTCCTAGTTGGAATATGATACACACATTCGGTTCCGCCTAAATCTGCTTGGCAGCTTGCCATGAATATAATAAAACGAGAGCCTTATGCGCTTATTTTGTCCCATGAAGAGATGGCAGAATTATTTCTAACGACATTGGTAATCTAAACATAAATCATATCCTCTCAACATGTTAACTCTGTTCCTGTTATTTTTAAAACAACAAGTCAATTGCCAATCTTGATTTTTTTTTGTAATAATAAACAACATGGCGACAATTTGGTTTGTTCTAGGACTGAATTTTCAGCAAAGAAACAACATTCTTACAATCTTGTCGTTTCTTACCTTGAAGATGTTTGTTTCCCGTCTGTCATTTCGCAAAACACAGCCCAAACACCATCGCAGTAATAGCATTAGTCTTGCCAAAATGCGAGTAAAGTAAGGGCACTAATATGTTCATGTTGTTTAGTCTATAATATGCACGTGTACAAGATAAAAAAGAATATTATAAAAAAAAGTAATTTTGAGGAAAGAATGTTAGGCGGCCAAAATCATCTTGTTAAGAAAATGATTAACAAGTAAGAATATAAATATATAAGAAGTGTCATTGGTTAACATGTATTCTAACATAACGGTGATATAAAACAGAAACATATGGTATATCTATGAATCATCAATTTTTGGTCATGGCTGTGATTTTAGACACTCGCCCAAATATGGTCGCCACCGTCAATGTTCAAACAGATGCTCGACGTTGACATTTCATAAATTCATTACAAACGACAAACCAAATCAAATCGCAAGAATAAGACAATCTGAATAACAATATATAACAAAATAAAGTCACGTCAAACGGTGTTTTCTTCTAGCTTTTACTTACCACGACAAAATATCAACATGTCAACATATTCATAATCTAATATTCAATATAACTAGAGCAAATATGAACAAAAGAAGGGTTTACACGAAGATTCCTGAAAAAACGACGAGAGAATCAGACCAGGTGTTCTGAAAAATCAACGTCTTCAACTTCATCGATGACACCCGCTATGTAAATCATAGTTAATCGGAGTAAGTAATGTCACGTTCTCAAAAGAGAAGAAGGTTCACAACAATGGAACCAACAGGTAAACTAACGAGCATTAAACACGTCCAACTTCATATCGCACAAAGAAACAAAATATTTCTCAGTGAGATCACTATGACAACAGGAAAAATTTTCACCAACCAGCATCTTTTGAAATCCTTTGTTACGAGTTTGTCCGTAAGTTGACGACCTCGACTTCTTGCACGAAAATCGTGATAATTGGAACAGGTTCTTGAATATCAAATTAATTGTAATAAAACATTGATCATATGGATTCTTGTGAAGTTTATTAATTCAATATAAACGAGGGAGGTTCCTATCCTTATCATTAATAGGTAATCTAGATGATTATAAGATCGAAACATAATTAGCCAGAATTTCTCCATTGGAAAGATTGTATAATGTATAGGTGGGTTTCCTAAGTTGTAAAGGAAGCCCAGTCCTTTTTCATATACAGAAAATATCTGCAATCAAGGATAAAGTTATTGGACGCCTTACATTCCACAGAGAATGATAAAGAAATCTCAATCTCTATTCAAAATAAACATGCTGCCAACTTTCTACGTCTTCAATGCTTGTAAATGAGCGATATGGTTGGGAAAGACAAATGAGAGTCAGTTTTGAGCGAAAATAACAGAATTGCTTTTGATATTACTATATTTACATTGCATTGAGATTTGTATATCAACGCCGTCTCGTCTTTGTGTATAAATATTGTAATTCTATCTTTATTTCACAGTACTTGATGGTTTTACGACTGTTAACTACTACTGGGGAAGTGTATGTGGTGAAGAGATTGTACCCGTCTTAAGCTTCTGTGCGATGAGTAGAATTCCACCAGCAAGACAAAAGGAAGCATCTCAATCAAAATTCCTAGAGGCAGTTAAAGTTTTATTTAAAAGGTTAAATGTAACAATTATTACACAACCGCTGTATAGTGCAGTAAATTAATTATTTGACAACACCGTATATTGATCTAAATTCGTATAGAAAAACAATTTTATTTTCTAATTCTTATTGAAATGTGCGACTTCTTTGTATTGGTGGACTATCTTTAATAACTAAGTCTATTTTCTTATTGAAAGGTGGGACGTATTTGTATTTTTATACTATCTTTTATAACTAATTCTTATTTTCTTATTGAAAGGCACTATTCACTCGTGTCTTTTGTACTATCCTTTTTAAAGTGAGCCTTATCTATATGATATTTTATTTTTATTTTTAATTTTTGTTGTTTCGTAAACACAAGTAATATTTTGAGCAGTGTCATTTATATTCAGCGGTGCCTTTGTGAATGACATCTTGACTTGTTAACATATCTGTACATTTTATACATTCTGTCTCGTTTTTCTGTTCGCGACCGATTTATTTTCGATATGATCATCGCAGCAAACATGTTAACCTCATAACACATTAAACGTTAAGACGCCAAGTATATCACCGTGAAATTGTGTCAAAGGACAAAATCAACAGTCACGAAAAAATTTACAAAATTACAAAATTAAAAATTAAAAACACAATTTCAAACTAGAGAGTGTTAGGAGAGCGTTGTGATTGGTTAAATTTTAGAAATCAACATCATGTAGAAACATTGTATTTATAGCTGGTTTGAATTGGTAATAATGAACGATCCGGAACAGGCTACCCGTATAGACATATGTACTGGAAATAAGTCAAATTTTGATTGACATTAGCCACTCTTATTCTAGCAACAACTATGGAATTATGGGAAACCCATGGAAATATATAAGGGACGAATCATAACCCTTATTTTTTCTAAAGTCAATCCTATCGGGGACAAAATTGAATTCCCTGAAAAAATCAAATTTCTAAAGCTATATTGAACGATTTAATCGACTCTGTAACGATATCTCCACGAACAGAAAAGCTAAAAATAAATTGAGAGAACAATTAAGAAAACCAATCATGACCAATGGGTAGAATTCTGTAACTGAACAAACGATAAAAAAGATGCAAAAGCTGTATGGAAAAGGATTAGGACCATGCAATGCATGTCCCCGAGAAGAAATGCCTGTTTTAGAAAAAATGCAAAGAGTTATTGAAAAGACAGATAATTTAGTCGATCAATTTCAAAATGAAAGTAGTTTTCAGAACAGTACTAAGGATTTGTTTTAGAAAATAATACCAAAAACACAGACAACACCACAAACATGATTTATATAGGGTGTTGTTAAATGATGTGCCCTTTCGTTCAAATTTCAACTTCTCAACCAGTCAAAGGACCGGAAATCCTTATACCCCTAGGAACCTTTACAGTTTCATCATAACAATAACGATAAACACAAAGACAAACGAAATATTTACTTTTAATTCTGTCAGTTATTTAACGGTCAGGGTCTATATAACTTCAGCTGTTACTACCGATGAAGGGAAGGTGTGAACGTTTCAAGTACTGTAGTATTGAACAAAGTATTGATAGTATTGTACTGAAGTACTTCACCAATCGAATTCCTTAAATTTATGCAACAAGCTCTCTGATTGGCAGAGCCAAGTCTAGATCGATTGTGGGTGGAGCCAGGTGAAAAAATACTGTGCAGACATCGGCATTTTACAAACACTCGACTGTCGCGAGAGGTTAATTGGAAGAGTCCAAGTCACAGGTGGCTTCAGATCAGACCTAATTGAGTTGTCCCATTTGTTTCGTTCTACACCCAATGAAACCTTGCTTTTCCATCGATGGTACAACGAGAAAACGAAAGTTACTCAGTACTAAACTAATTTACGTACAAAATATATATCAACAGGTTAGAGCACTGGGACCGGAGAATTCATAACATCTTAACAGTGAATATAGTCATATAGTCATTCTGTACTAGTTTTATTTATTTTTTTTTAAAGTGGGGGTGGGGGGGGGGAATTCTGTGGTCCCATATATTTTTTATTTTATTTTTTATCTTTCCATCGAAAATTATACATATCCGCAACATGTGAAAAAAACTTTGAAGTTGGTTGGACGGAATATCTAGAGCATTTACTACTGCAAGTTCCAGAAATTCTGACACAAGTCGGGTATTTGCCCGAAGCCTCTGTCTCATGACATTGAATACATATTCAGTTACGTTGTATTCCGGGGAATAAGGCGGCTGAAAAACCAGGTACACGCCATATTCTTTCAGCATATTTCTTAAAATGCGCTCTCCCTGTCTATGGTGATGGAATCCACAATTATCCATCACAACCACATCGCCTTGTACAAAAACAGGATTCCCCATATCGTTCGTATCGGACATAATTTCGTCGAAGAAAATTTTGCGTACTGTTGCCGTCGTTGGACATTTTTCCAGCGATTACTTAGTAATTGTTATGTAACTGATAGTGTACATTAACTCCGCCTACCGGAACAAATTGGGTGTCAGATCAACTATTCAGGTTGTCTAAACTCCGCCCCCGACCAATCACAGAGGTCGTTGTATACTTGACTCGATTATTTGAATACTTCAATACAATAGTATCACTACTTTGTTCAATACTATAGTAAGTGTGTCGTTCACACCTTCCCTTCATCGGTAGTAATATTGGGATGCTTTAGATCCGTGTTTGAAAAGAAAATGGTGTTGCATTATTTGTGCAATACATTGCATTCGGATGTAACATTTTCCTGAACGGGAAGTGAGGTGATCGTCAGATTCGTGTATTGTACGGAGTTGAAAAACTCGTATTCTCCCTGCATGCATCTTGTAAACACTTGTAAAGCTTTACTCCGGTTTATTCTCATATTTGTCTCAGCTTCATCAACAAATGCATCCAGCATCTTGTACCCGTCAAACTGAGGATTAAAGTTATCGTTGAACCACACATTGTATACGCCATGATTAACCTGTAACACAGAATATACCAAGTTTACCTCAATGTATACGTGTTGATAATATTTTCGTTAATATAAAACGCTTCCTGTTACAAGTAAACAAGTTGAAATGAAATTGATTTCGAGACACTAATATTGGGATGAAAATGACGACATTATTTTCATTTGCAATTTTTTCACATTATTACAATAACGGAACTCGATTTACACTAGCTGAGAATGATGGTATACGATTCATTTATACATTAGTGTACAAACGATGAAGAATACGGCCAAATATACATGATAATACCTCCCTAATCTAATGCTAAGGATGTTTGCCCCTTTCTACACATTAAAATAAACACCTATATGCTCTCCAATATGTAATATTCACTGATTTTACATTCCATATTACAAAAAGAATCAGGTATTGTTTATAGTCTACATAATCCCTTGAACTGAATTTAAATGTTTTTTGATCTAGTAAATACGCTGAGATGTCAACACGTCTTCTCTGACACCCTCTTACAAATATACAAGGCAGTTAAAGAAGCACCCACATTAAAACACACACACTCTGACCCCCGACACACACACATACAAGAAAGATAAAGAAATACCCACACCCACACACACCCACCCTGACACCCTGACACATATACAAGGCAGTTAAAGAAACACCCACATTTAAACACTCATTCTGACACCCTGGCACATCCATAGACAAAGCAGCTAAAGAAACACCCATATCTACACACATCCTGACACAACCATATACAAGAAAGATAAAGGACCACCCACACCCACACACACACACCCTGACACCGTGACACACATATACAAGGCAGCTAAAGAAACACCCATATCTACACACACACACCCTGACACAACCATATACAAGAAAGATAAAGGAACATCCGATATAACACCCTGACACATACATACATAACATGAAGACGACTTAACAGTCTTTATCATGTGAATATGGTTTCAGATTTGACACCGCATAATTTTCTTTGATTCTTTGAACTTGAACATTATACCAAAACATTGCTCCCGAACCTCATGACCATCTATCAATATATATTATCCTCAGTGGTTGTAGACTCTGTGTAATATTATGTTGAGATTTTCCATTGATTTAGTTTTACCCTTTTTTATTCAGTATTAGTAAAATATGTTTCATTGTTATACATGCTATCACTGGGAAGTGTGGATAAAAGATCAAATTAGCTGTTTATTTGAATATTTTATGAAAGAAACACCTTCTATATAATCTATAAATACTTTAGTGTATATATAAACTCATATCTACATTTTAACATTTTCTAATTATCTGTCGAAATTTCGTCTCTGAGCCTCCTCAGTTGATAGCTACGATGAGAGTGAAATGACTTTTCGCCTGTATCTAAAGAGGTAAAGAAGTTTATTGCCCGTGGATAAATAATATATACACATGTCATTTTCCATGTATTTTAGAGGAAAATAAATAAAATGTAACCCAATATTGTATCTTAATGTATTTTATTTTATATCACTGTCATGTTATGTGTGGGAGAGGATTTAAATTGGCTCTGCGTGTTGTTTAACGCTTTTGTTATATATGTATTTATATGTCAATTTTTTAATTACGTAGCAAACTCCAATTCTTTAACCTTAACCTTCAAAGAATTAAGCAAAACGTAGAATGAGTTTCCTGATAAGATAATGACCAAAACATTGTCCCCTCTATCGGAACGATTTGTTTGACATGTACTGACGGATTGAACCTGCTGTCCGAGCCAAGGCCACAACTTCATACACGGAATCATGGCCACTATCATGTAGATGGTGTCCTCTGTGGCGGCGACCTTTCGCTCGTAGTCTACGTAGGACTCACAAGCCTTGCTTAAATTGATACCTGTGGGGCTTTCGATGCGCCATTTGTTAAACAAATCTTTGTAATATCTGCAAAATATTAGGGGTTTATGATATCTTTAACATATTCAGTAAGGCAGCAATTGAAAATCATTGACAACGTCTTGACTTTCACGGAAAAGCATTTCTGACGACGTGCAACTTTTTATTGTAGAACCAATTCACCTTTCATAACTCGCCGACTTCATTCGTAAATATTCCTTGAGTTCGCCGTCGGTGGCTCGATCAACAGAGATATCGATGGAGTGCTTTACCTCGTAACAATAGACCGAATCTTGCACCATGTAGCCTCCTAGAGATTGTACAAAAGACACATAAGCGAATAGCACAATAATACAAATTTGGAGTTTGCTAGCGGAGTGCTAAATAATATATCAAACTCATCATACAGCCGTTTCGTCCTTCTCGGACTCGTTATTGATGATGAGGGCATAAATTTAGAAACCTAAGAGGCGGTAGAGGAAATTCCCAAAATTGATCGAAAAAAAATGTTAAACTATAGATGGGGAAAGTGCACCAAGTAAATGCTTGTATATTCTCTCTTGTGATAGCCCGCCTATACACGACACATTATTGACAATAAAAGATAGTGTTTATGTGATCATCGATAGGGTAAAAACATTGCATGAATCATATAGCAAAATTTGAAATGAATAATGCGCAGAATATTGATTTTTGAACGTAATGAAATCGCAAATACTTTTTGAAATAGCGGAATAAATGTATAAGCATATTGATTTATATGAATATATCTCCATAATTTTATCAGAGTATATCTATACACTGTTTTACCGTATATACTTTTTTGTATCCATATTAAATTCAAACACTTTAAAATAAAAACAAAATTTAACAAAAAATTGTATTTACTTATTGAAATATTAACTCTCAGATATAGAAAATTTCAATAAATTTCTTATTGTTTGATTTGACCCTTACTGAGGTAGAAAATTCAGCTAATTTAAATTAACTTAAGATTACCGAGTGCTGTCGGATTAAGACTTCCGTTGGCGATTCCCTGCACAAAATATGAAGATAATGTCTTGTTTCGTATCGCCTCGGTTTTGTTCCACATGTATTCTGATAACGATTCTGTGTCACTCGTTCGAACTGTCTGCTGCATATATAGCAACATAGTAATCACTCTTTCAGAACAATTCCTACCAGGCTGTAGGTATACTGAACAGCTGTCGGCAATAAGCACTACTGGCAATAGTAGCCTTACATATATACATATAGTGAAAAATCCCGATGAATTCAAAATTACTGAAGGCTTCGATCATGATTCTCTTAACATGATCAGCGACGCCACCGTGAGACCATAACAGTAATAAGTAATGGAAAATGTTCGTTATGTTTATGGTTCAATTATCAAAGAAAATACATACATTGTTTATATTACTAGTTATTATATATACGAAAGTAATGTTCTGGAATAGAATTGGTATTCTACCTCGTGTATGCGATGGACTATTGTCGTCGTTGATTCAATGGAACCATGTTGTATTTGTTCGCCTGCTCTTAAAATAAGTGAAATAAAGCAATTAAAACATAAATATGACAACAAAGTCTTTCCTTTTGGCATTAGAATACACAGATAGAGAATAGGAAAGGTACACCTTAATGTTTGCATCGCAAAATAAATTACTTTATGATTAATTATATAAATTTTTAAACAATTTAATGTAAAAACATAAATTGATATGACGTTTCCGTACACCTGAATATAACAGACCATCAGCATACCTATGAGAACTAACTGTGCCCCTCCATCGGTTGACTTGTTTTTTTTTCATACGAGGCTGAATATATCAAAGCATGTCACAAAGACAATGCAAAGTCGTTCATTTTCACTTTAGACATATATATATATTGTTTTCAATTTCCCTCTTGTGAATTTCTCTTTTCTGGATAGCAACATCCCAGCATCCCCGAACTATGATGTTTACATGACACAGTTAATTCGATTTTCAAGGGGCAGTTGATTCAATATACAAAGGCCTGCTTCAATTATCACGATTTTCGTACAAGAAGTCGTCAATGTACGGACAAACGTGTAAAACAGGGTTCCAAAAATGCAGACAGATGAAAATTATGTTGAGGTTTTACAGTCGTCATAGTGACCTCATTGAGAAACATGCCTGTTGATTCCGTGGTTTTATACCTAGTTCTCATTTGAGAACGTGACATTAATTACTTGGATTTACCAATGTTCACATGGCGGATGCCGTCGATGAAGCAAAGAACGCTTACTCTTTCGGAATAACTAGTCATTTCCCCTTGTCCCTTTTCAGGAGTTTCCGTATACATATTTCTTTAGTTCATGTTTTGCCCTAGCCTAGTTTTATTGGCTTTGTTGTTGTTGTTTTCATTTGAGAACATGACATTACTTACTTGGATTGACCAAAGTTTACATGGCAGAAGAAGAAAGCACTTGCTCTTTCAAAACTCCTGGTAGTTTACGTCTGAATTTTTCTTTTATCATATTTTGCCGTACTATTATGGAATTTGAGTTTGGATTATGATTATGTTGATATAAAAATGTAAATTTGAATAGTGTTGTCTATCTTTTATAAACATTATATCGTTCGATTGTCCGATTTTCCCGGAAATTCCAATCTACCATTAGTACATATTCTACACAACGGTTAACCGCATTTTTTCTATAAATAATGGGAAAAAAGTGTTCCCGTTATACATCATACCGTTCCAGCTCCAGTAAGTCACCTCTTCATCAAAATAAAACAATAAATGGCAAGAAAATTTCTCAGATGAAAATCAATTAATACAAGAAAACAACCAGTGGTGGTGATGTTATGATTGAGGTATAACTTGCGATAGTCTAAAGACAAAAGAATACAGAAAACTTATCAAAATCCTAATTCAATATCAAAAGTCTCAGAACAAACACACAAATATAGCATCATTGATATCATTAAGACGACCAGAACATGTTCTCATGATCTCTATAAACCTGCAACTCTTAATGTCTTTGTTGTACATTTAGCTATTAGTTGGTAACAAATTTATGGTAAACATCGAATAGCATCGCCAACATATTAGCATGGTAGGTTTTGTTAAAAAATGACCATATCGAAATGAAAAATCCACAATAGGGAAATGATCAAGTTTTTTTTATACATCTTAGCGGAAATCTGTCCGTGTGTATAAGAGTCTGTTGTATCATTGACAAGCTAGTTAGTACCTGTTTTGGTAAGCTCTTTCATCAATTTAGCAATCTTTCATTTGTAAAGCCAAAACTAGCCAGTCATGTTTTAATAGGTATGCTACTTGTATCTTTTCACCAAAAACAAATGTACCAAAATTTACTACCTAAAGGTTGCTACAAGCATAACTACTGCTAATAATTAATTTCTCTAAGCGGTTCTATATGCAAAAGTTTAAGACAATTAAGAATAACATTAACCTGGTTGGCTTTAAATTTGTTTTGTTATCATTTTCATATTTGCCTCCGTTAACTCTATTGTCAAGATACCCGGAACATCGGTGTATAAAGTGGCCAAATACGACAATGATAGACAGCATTTCAGGCGTGTACGGACGGAAGGAAATAACAATATTAAAATTTTACTCATGAACCCCAAATTTCTACTAGAGTGGGATGTTTGTGGTTAACTATTGTTAAACGATCCGGATCATAGGTGTATAAATTTGGCAAAACTGACTGCGATAGACATAATTTCAATGTAATAATTTGCTATATGCAGAAGTTTAATATAATAAAGAATAACATTAGCCTGGTTGGCTTTATATTTGTTTTGTTATCATTTTCATATTTGCCTAGGTTAACTCTATTGTCAAGATACCTGGAACATCGGTGTATAAAGTGGCCAAAAACGACAATGATAGACTTAATTTCAGGTGTGTCCTTGAGTGAATTATGTAATAGATCAGGACAAGTTATTTGTGAGATTTTAATCATGAACCCCAAATCTCTACTTGAGAGGGAAGTTTGTGGTTAACTCTATTGTTAAGATACCCGGATCATCGGTGTATAAATTTGGCAAAACTGACCCCTAAAGACATCATTTCAATGTAATAATTTGCTTCACTTCAAGCTGACAGAAACGTAAATATGTCTCTCTTTTAATTTATCACCGTTGATTAGTTTTCTAGATTTATCAGTTGAAAAAAAGTATATATTTCATGTCTCATTATAGTAACAATTTGATATTTTGCTGGACATAGCACTCATAGCACAGGATAACTCGTAATTGCAGCTTCTTAAAGAACACAAAGTTACCTTGGTCGGCATTACCGAGTCTGACATCAGATTTCTTATATCAACGTTACTCTGCCATCTACCACAATATTCGGTTATTTGCACAATGTTCGGTGTAATTTGCACAATATTCTGTGTTATTTGCACAATGTTCGGTGTTATTTGCACAATATTCGGTGTTATTTGCACAATGTGCGGTGTTATTTGCACTATGTTCGGTGTTATTTGCATAATGTTCGTTATTTGTACAATGTTCGGTGTTATTTGCACAATGTTCAGTGTTTTTTGTACAATGTTCGGTGTTATTTGCACAATGTTCGGTGTTAATTGCATCAGTGTTCATTGTTTTTTGTACAATATTCGGTGTTATTTGCACAGTGTTCGTTGTTTTTTGTACAATGTTCGGTGTTATTTGCACAGTGTTCGTTGTTTTTTGTACAATATTCGGTGTTATTTGCACAATGTTCGGTGTTATTTGCACTATGTTCGGTGTTATTTGCATAATGTTCGGTGTTATTTGCACAATGTTCGGTGTTAATTGCATCAGTGTTCATTGTTTTTTGTACAATATTCGGTGTTATTTGCACAGTGTTCGTTGTTTTTTGTACAATATTCGGTGTTATTTGCACAATGTTCGGTGTTATTTGCACAATGTTCAGTGTTATTTGCATTATGTTCGGTGTTATTTGCATAATGTTCGGTGTTATTTGACCTTATGATAGTTTTTCTGTAATCTTGTCTATAATATGACCTTGTAAATTATTTTCGTCTGAAATGTTACTATATTATAACTCACTGTTCACAAGCGTATAATCTTTTCGATGAAAGTCATCAATTCTTGTTATGATATGAACATAATGCCATATGATCATGTACTATTTTCGGTGTTAATTGCAAGCTGTACATTGTATAAAAACAAAATAGTTTCAGGCTGAATAATCTCAATCCTATCTGTCTTTACAAGTACCTTCCATGCCTAAGGTCAGATAATATTTTGTTTTCATCAATATTTTATTATCTTTAATCAATTTCTGGATTGTTTGATGTACGTTCCTGGGGTTATGCCAATCTTTGTTCTATTGTGATCATGTTCTTGATTTTATGCCAATATTTGTTGATTATTTGCAACAATGTTCGGGGTTATGCCAATATTTGTTGCTTATTTACCATTAGCTGTTCCTGGTGATATGCCAATATTTGTTGCTCCCTGTTATTTGGAACAGTGTTCCTGGGGGTTATGCCAATATTTGTTGCTATATTATACCAACTTTCTGTGATAATCTTTTGTTGCTCTTTGATTATACCAAGATATTCCATGCCAATTTTGTTGTCAAATTGATTTACCGAACAGCTGTTCCTTTGACATGTCGCTCTTTGTAGCTCATGTTAATAAAGCACCTGTTTATACCAACATCTGTTCCTGGGGGGTAATGCCAATCTTTGTAGCTCATTGTTTATACCAACAGCTGATTTAGCAATTTCTCTGGATGTTTATACCAATAGAACAATTTGATCCCTTATTTACTTGATTTAAATAAGATTAATTGCAAAGAGACGATTGTTGATAAAATAACAAATTTGTTTACATTTATGTTAATAGATTTTCATGTTAGTGGGTCCAACAGTCACCAATTGTTCACTAATTTGATGCCTTTATCAATGATAATAATCAACTTCAATGCATCCATGATTTTATACATAACAGCTGGACATGTAACGAATATTTGTTGCTCATTGTGACATACCAACAGCTGTTCCTGAAGCTGGATTATGCCAATCTTTGTAACGCTCTTTGTTTATACCAACAGCTGTTCCTGGGGGACAATATGCCAATATTTGTTGCTCCTTGATTATGACCAACAGCTGTTCCTGACAATCGGCTATAATTTTAA